GGATGTGGCGCAAGCAACCTTCCAGCAGCTCTCACCCACCCCCCCTTACCCCTCCTCCCCCCCCCACGACCATCACCAGGACGAGCAGTACATAGTGACATACCGCCCCAGCCACCGCCGGGCGTATGTGGTGCTGAAAGAGGGCGCCAAGTCCAGAGACGTGGTGCGGGCGGCCTTCCAGACGCACGTGCTGCTGCACCTGCTGCACCAATGGCGCCAGGACACCTGCCAGCAGCCGCTGCTGCTGAGTCACCAGCTCTCACCAGACACGTCCCTCAAGTCCCTCGACCTCTCTCCGAAAGACTCGTCCACAACCCTCCTCAAAAACCTAAGTCCAGACAGCCTTAGCCCGACAGCCCTCAGCAGCAGCAGCCCCGGGCAGTGGGGCCCAAGGAAATCAGCCCCAAGGGGCCGAGGGCATGGCAGAGATCCCTTACCTCAGCAGAGGTGGAGCGAGCGGTAGCAGAAAGCCTGCATCTGACCAAGAGCTGTTTGGGCGGTTTGAGGAGAGGGCTGCGGCGAGGGGTGGACCATGGCTGACTCCCTGCTCAACCCGGGGAAGTCTCGCGTGCTCTCGGCGCCCCCGCCTGGAGTTACTGCTGCTGCAAATGCTCTGGTGTCGCACTCTGCTGCTGCTGCTTCCGCACCAACTGCTGCTGCTGGGGGTGGTGGGGAGGGTGGGGCTTGTGCTGGGGCGGGGCCTGCTGGTGGTGTCAGCTTTGGTGGCGCACCTGATGCTGTTACTGCTCCGCTCACTCAGCCTCCGCTTGCTGCCTCTGGGAGGGTTGCGCTGGAGCCTTTTGCAGGTGCTGCTGCTTGAAATTACTTATGAGTTGACTGGAAAGTCAGCTTGTTGCTGCTCCTTAGCCTCTTGAAGGATGAAGCTGGAGCCGTTTGCCGGTGCTGCTGCCTGAAACGACTTCGGAGCTTAGTTGACTCACGAGTCAGCGCGTCCTCAGCGCGTTGCTGCTCCGCTCTCTCTGCCTCCGCTCGCTGCCTCTGGGATGGTTGCTCTGGATCCCCTTCCGGGTACTGCTAGTAGCTTGTAGCCTACGTTACTAGGTACTGGCGCTGCTGCAGCTGGTGGTGGTGATTGTGGTAGACAGAGTGCTGTGACAGTAGTGGTAATTGTGCCACTACTAATGAATTTGAAAGGGTTTGTGGGTGTTGGGGTGGTTGGGAATTCCCTGCACTTGTGCTGCTGCACATGCATGTTTGTGGCACAACCTGCCCGAGAAGGGTTAGTGGTGCAAGCAAGCACATGTTATTAAGTAAATTTTAGTTATTGGAGTATTCCTTAGACTCGGTATCTCCATATCTCCCACTAAGTGTCCCTTGTCTCCCAGCACTGGTGTGGCAGTTAGGGTGCAACATCAACTCTACATTGAATACTTTTCCAACTACTGCACTATTCACACCAGCTTGTAACAAACCATACCACCAACATTCTTGGCCCGCTTCTAGACTGCACTGCTTCTTAGGGGGTTCCCCCTTCAATATCATGACCCCTCCAAGTGCGTCATCTGCACCCCATGCTCCAGCACACCTCCTCCTTCCAGCCGCACCTCACTGCACCTCACTGCACTCTCTTCTTCTCACGCTTTCTTCCCCCCGTCTCGCCATCGCAATCCCTGCCTTATCTATAGATCTAACCTGACTTACTACTGGTATTCGCTCTCTTCCCCCCATCTTACCATCAAGGGAGAACACATCAGCATCAATTGGCTGCTCCAACTCCCTCGCCCTGAGGCAACACAAACAATAAGCAACTCACCCTCTTCCTCTGCCTCTAGTCCTCCTTCCTCAGACGAATCGAGTCAAAAGTCAATCAGTCAATCAGTCAAAAGTCAATCAGTCAATCAGTCTAACGCATCAAACCTCGGAGAACCCATCTGTGATGACAGCCTGCTGCTTCTCCCCCCCTCCCCTGAAGCAGCACAAACAATGAGTGCAAAGCCGCCTCTCGACTCGAGGTGACTTTTGTGTCGACTCAAAAGTCACCGCAGCACAAACATTGAGTGCAAAGCCGCCTCCCGTCCTCTACCTCTATTCCTCCTCCTCTTTTGCGTCGACTCAATAGTCAACTAGTGCAAGGCAACCTCTAGACCTCTACCTCTACTCCTTCCCCTGTCATCATCCAACGAGAACCCATCTGTGTTACCAGCAACCGCTTGCTTCTTCTCCATCTCTCGTAAAGCAGCGGCGCAAACAATAAGTGGAATACAACCTCTACCCCTCTACTCCTTCTTCCCCTCCTCCATGTCATCGTCCAAGGAGAACACATCTGTGTTCACTGCCTGCTTCTTCTCCGCCCCTGCAGAGCCACTAGCAGCTGAAACTGCGGTCAATGCTATCTCCTCCTCCCCCACCTCCTCAGGGACATCCTCCGAGTATGCATATCTGGTGTGAGGGAGAGGGGAGGGGGAGGGGGTATGTATGGGGATGAATGGAATGAAAGAGCCTCAGAACCCAGTATCTGGTGTGAGGGAGAGGGGAGGGGGGAGGGGGTATGTATGGGGATGAATGGAATGAAAGAGCCTCAGAACCCAGTATCTGGTGTGAGGGAGAGGGGAGGGGGGAGGGGGTATGTATGGGGATGAATGGAATGAAAGAGCCTCAGAACCCAGTGTCTGGTGTGAGGGAGAGGGGAGGGGGGAGGGGGTATGTATGGGGATGAATGGAATGAAAGAGCCTCAGAACCCAGTATCTGGTGTGAGGGAGAGCGGAGGGGGCATGTATGGGGATGAAAGGGGCATCAGCAGCAGCAGCAGCAGTGAGTGTGATCTCCTCCTCCCCCACCTCCTTGGGGACATCCTCAGAGTATGCGTATCTGGTGTGAGGGAGAGGGGAGGGGGTACGTATGGGGATGAAAGGGAAGGAAGAGCCTCAGAACCCAGCATCAGCATCAGCACCACCAACTCCAGTCGCAGCAGTGAGAGATATCTCCTCCACCCCCCACCTCCTCTGGGTCATCCTCAGAGTCTGCGTATCTGGAAAGAGGCAGGGAGGAGGGGGCGTGAGATGGGGTATGTATGGGGAAGATAGGGATGTATGGGGATGATAGGGATGTATGGGGATGATAGGGATGTATGGGGATGATAGGGATGTATGGGGATGATAGGGATGTATGGGGATGATAGGGATGTATGGGGATGATAGGGATGTATGGGGATGATAGGGATGTATGGGGATGATAGGGATGTATGGGGATGATAGGGATGTATGGGGATGATAGGGATGTATGGGGATGATAGGGATGTATGGGGATGATAGGGATGTATGGGGATGATAGGGATGTATGGGGATGATAGGGATGTATGGGGATGATAGGGATGTATGGGGATGATAGGGATGTATGGGGATGATAGGGATGTATGGGGATGATAGGGATGTATGGGGATGATAGGGATGTATGGGGATGATAGGGATGTATGGGGATGATAGGGATGTATGGGGATGATAGGGATGTATGGGGATGATAGGGATGTATGGGGATGATAGGGATGTATGGGGATGATAGGGATGTGAGAACCTCACAACCCAGCATCAGCACCACCAATACCGGCAGCAGCAGCAGCAGCAGCAGCAGCGCACGGGCCAGAAGCACACTGTGATGCGAGGGAACTAGAACTTACCTTGTGGTGTTTGTAGAGGGCGCTCACAACACGCAGATGAGGCACAGGAGCATGAGCGTGAGCACGTGCCAGGAGCACACCTTGCGTCGTCAGAGGAACCCTCCCTCCCTCCCTACCTTGTGGCATTCTTAGAGGGCGCCCACAGCACGCAGATGAGGCACAGGAGCATTAGCGTGAGCACATGCCAGAAGCACCCCGTGATCCAATCGCCCTCCACTGCTCGTTGTACGGGTCAGACGTGCGCAGGTACATCTGGGGTAGGTGGACATGGGGGAAGGGATGCATATACACGTTATATGGTGATCCTATCGCTTGTACGGGTTGGACGTGCGCAGGTGCATCTGGGGTAGGGGGCATGGGGGAAGGGATGCATATACACGTTATAAGGTGATCCAATCGCCCTCCCACTGCTCGTTGTACGGGTCGGATTTGCGCAGGTACATCTGGAGAATGGTGGCGTGGGGAAAGGGGGAGGTTGTATTGAGGCTGTTATGCTTGGTGTCTCATCGCCAGACTCCCATATCCCATACCCATACTCCTACTGTCCCTTATCCCATCATCCACACTCCCATATCCCATACCCCTTGCTCTCATACATCCCATATCCTATTTCTGCTCTGTGTGGTGTGCTTGGCCTAGGCCTGCACTCCATGCCTGCTGGTTAACTTCCAACACAGCTCAGCTCATGGGGAGGGCACTTGGCCTGCAAGCTGAGGAAGAGTCTTAACCACACTCCATACCCCATACCCCGTATCCCGTGCCCTAAGGTGTTTCCGCTCACCTCAAAGCCTATCCAGGCGACCGACAAAAGAACAGCAATCGCCACCCGTTGGTGAACTTCCTGTCGAGCTCCAGCTTGTGCTGGTGCGCTTGGCCTGCAGCTGTGACCCATACCCAATGCGCACATGTTCCCAAATGATCTCTCACCTCGAAGCCTATCCATGCCACCGACACCATAACAGCAATAGCCAACCCATTGGTAAACTTCCTGTAGAGCTCCAGCTTGTGCGTGGTGCGCTTGGCCTGCAGCTGGGCGAGCGTCTTGGAGAGCGCCGAGAAGATCCAGAGGATGAAGATGGCATCCAGCACCGCCACCGGCAGCACCAGGAACAGGCGCTCGCTGCTCGTGAGATCGTCAATCGCCCCCACGTTCTGCATCACGTCTAGCAGCTCCACCGCCGCAAAGTACCCCACTCCCAGGGCGATCACCTTCCCTGAAAGTCCCCCCAGAGTGGGCCGAACGACGCCGAACCCCATGGAGACGACCAGCACGAGGACCCGGGAGACCGCCTTGCGGATGGCGCCGAGAGTCGCCGCCCAAATGGTGGTGCCCATGGGGCGGAAGCCGGAGGAGTTGAAGTTCGCGAAGTCGAAATACCAGGTGGCCATCTCGACCATAGAGAGGACTAGGACGGCCGTGATGCACGTGTGGATCTGCAGGCCATCCTGCCAGAAGCGGAAGTAGGACACGAACCAGACGATGCCCAGGATGGTGTACACCTGACAGGGGAGAAGCGTGAGGAAGAAGCGACCAGGGGAAAAGGGGAGTTGGGATACAAGGGGTGCGAGGAGGGAGAGGGAGTGGGGCGGAAGCCGGAGGAGTTGAAGTTTGTGAGGAGGGAGAGGGAGTTGGCGTCGAAATACCAGGTGGCCATCTCGACCATTGAGAGCACTAGCACGGCCGTGATACACGTGTGGAGCATTGAGGTATGGCGCCACACGCATGCATGCATGCACCTAGATTCTAGCTTTCGCTCACCACAGCCATGATCTCGTAGAAGGTGAGGTACGGCGCCATCATGCCCGGCAGGTACCCATCGGGGTTCTTCCACACGGTTGTCCCCGTTACAGACACGCCCGCCAGGCTCTTGTCGCAGATGACAAACCAGAGGTAGTACATGCCCGTCATCTTGATGCGGATCTCGGAAGGCGCTGCCACCACTGCCGTGTCGTTGCCAAAGAAGTTGATCTCCACCACCCGAGGCCACTGACGGGGGGGAAGGGAAGTGGGGAGAGGAAGGCCTTGTTCTGGCAGATGACGAACCAGAGGTAGTACATGCCCGTCATCTTCATGCGGATCTCTGAAGGCGCCGCTGTCACTGCTGTGTCGTTGCCAAAGAAGTTGATCTCCACCACCCGAGGCCACTGCGGGGGGGGGGGGGGGTTGGGAGAGGGAAGTGGGAGAGGGAAGTGGGGAGAGGGAAGTGGGAGAGGAAGCGGGCAGAGGAAGTGGGGAGAGAGCACCTTGTTCTGGCAGATAACGATAACACCCAGTGCGCTGCACGAGCTGTTCAGGGCAGAACAGGCATGCTTAAAGAATTTCGAACTCGCAGCATACCCTTGGAGGCCCTACCTGGCTGGTGGTCCCCATCCCTTGGCCGGATGATGACGTGGCCGGGGTTGCACCCAGTGCGCTGCACGAGCTCGGGAGAACAGGCATGCTTTAAGAATTTCAAACTCTCCCCATTCCCTTAGAGGAGGCCCTACCTGGTGGTCCCCATCCCTTGGCTGGACGATGACGTGGCCGGGGTTGCACCCAGTGCGCTGCACCAACTCGGGAGAACAGGCATGCTTTAAGAATCTCGAGCTCACACCATACCCTTAGAGGCCCTACCTGGTGGTCCCCATCCCTTGGCCGGACGATGACGTGGCCGG